GAGAAGCGCTGAAAGTTTCTCGGATGAGCGACAATAATGTACCACCTTGTCAAAATGGCGAAAGAGACATTTCGGCACAACTATGGTCGTCACATAGAAGGTTTCTAACGAACAAATAGTTCACAAACGTCTCCAACACTACGCGTAGCTTCGTTTTTGTCATCGCATAAAAATYTCGGACTTTTACAGGTGAAATAGTACTTGTTTTCCCATATTATAGCTTTAGTATAGATTCTGYGAGSCCCGCGATTTGAATWATATCCCCATCGGTTAACCTCCATCTTCYCATCATTGTAACCCCACTTCATGCAATTCYGTGCAAGAATCGACRTGTCATCTGGYARTCTTTCAAACGAGYYRCACGCTGTCGGCCATGTTGTCTTGACGAGGAAGTGATCCAGTACTTTGTGTCCAGCGGTGTTGTTGGTKGTCATGATGTGAAGGGTTCGGTTGATGCTCTTCTTACGACATCGAAATCGAAGCTGATGGAAACCCATGTCTTCTCTTAGCTTTTGTAAWGCTGGTGAGTCGATAAGTTGRGTGTAATCTGCATAGTTTGAAAGGGACCTATAAYYATCTTTTGCCACAAAATTCTTAGGAGCTGCAGTTGGTAATTTTGCCCTCTTTATCAATATCCAGCCCCCTAGCATGAAAAATACACAATATAATATATATACACAAACGTAATTGAAGAAAAATTTTTCATAGTGCTCAGTGACGGTCATTCATTGTAAATTGCCTGATGAGTGTGCATACGAAACAGGTCGGCAGGAATAAATTAATGTATCCTATTCAAAGCGTCTAGCTCAATATTTTTTTATGTATAATATAATTATATTAATATAATTTTATGTTTTATGTGATATTGCAATATACACAACAATTTAGTCTGAAAAGCCTAAAAAGCTCCAAAATGGCCTTCATATACTTGTTGTTTTTCATTGCAAGCTTGCAAAAGGCCCGTATAATCACTGGGAAATTTGATCAATTTACAGTCTATAAATTTACTGTAATTTATTCAATTTAATGGCAAATGTCATTTTACAAAGTTTGTAAATAGATGAGGTGACGGTTTCGGCCGCCATTTTGTTTCGGTAGGCAAAGTGTCGCAAAATAACAAGGAATGACCGGGAAATCGATGTCAAATAATTCTCGCTGAATTCAAATTCCGAAAGAATTATCAATTGCAAACGTTAGATACTGCAAAAAGGAGTTAACTGGCAAAATTTGAAAGGCGTACTTAATCTAGAGAGCGAGTAAACTCATTTTTAGTTCTTAGTTCCGAAACCGTCATCTATTGATTTTACAAGTTATTAACGTTTGATCGAGGAACATCGAGGAACATTTACAAAGATATTTTCTGAATGTACACAAAAATTACAAACTTTGCAAAAGGACATTTTGTAAATTGAGTTTACAGTATATTTACATGTGATTAACATATTATTTCCAAACTATGTAAACTAATCAATTTTTGCAGTGAAAATTCCCCAGATGGGTTTAAAGTTGAAACTGGCGAAGACTGAGAAAGCCGGCCGTATATGGCAATTTATCTTTTTCAAAGTTTGGCAAATACCTCCATCAGTAGTCATGTCACAGTAGACAGTGAAGGGTTGTCCAGTGTTCCCAGGATCAATCCAGTATTCTCTATCTCCACGAGATTCACCAAGATCTTTGATTTCCTTGCACGAGTGACCAGCAAAAAGAGGATTGGAACCTTTCTTTGCTAAATGATATCGGAGAAACATGGAATTAATCAGCCAATTTAAAACGAGCAATCTGACCAATATATCAGTTTCAAAGATTTCAAATTAATTTTTTTTTTAATTTGAAGCTAGGAGTCAATGTTTTCAAAGTTCACGAATAGACTCGAATGGGTTTAAGAGTTTTTCAAGAGACTKGATGGTCATGTGGAGATTGCTGTGCTYCTCTCGATGCTCCTCAGCATTCTTAAATTACAACTTTGATTACTTCAGTTTAATTCTTTTAAAAAATATAGAATATAGCTGCTTCATAAATACTGAATTGAGATCCGTTGTTTGATCGAAAGAATAAACAAAAAACAAAAATAAGACATTTTAACGTCCTATTAAAAGAACTGCATCACGGAAATGTTTTTCTCCCATTTTCTAAAAGCTAATTATGTTATTTCGTCTTATTTCTCTGGAGTGAAATCACTAATTTCTTAAAAAAGAAAGTAAGCTTWCTGGTAGAAAGAAATCAAAAAAATAACTCTCAAACAGATTTCTAGTGTGCCACCATAGGGGACCCAGATTATGTCAATATTTGATGTTAATATTAGATTCATTCTAGTTTTTTCTCTTGTTTGTGAGTCCAAAGAGACTTCGATTTGTACCAAGTCGCGAAGCAAATGTAGGTGATCTTTGGTGAGTGCAAAGTTTGTGTACTTGCAGYAAATGTATGGATTAAMGAATTGCGATTATTTCTTAGAAAATAAATAAGTTTTCTTTCTTTCTTTAGTTTACTTAGCTGTGACTGAGTTCTATCTCTTTATTCAAATCCCTCTGAAATATTATATCAAGGCAAAGATCTAATCTAAGTTGGCTTTTGGCTTTGGAGTATCGCTAATTATTTATAAAAGCAATGCAACTAAAAAGATATACTGTATAGAAATTTGTTATTTCTTTTACGAAAGAGAAGATAGTCTTATGCTTCAATTTATTTAAAATATCGAATAAAATTTGACGTACCTCTTTGGGGATTTTCCATATAAACACCGTGCCTCTTTGGTCGGACTTTCTTAGGTTTATGTCTTTTGGTGTCGTTGTTTAGCACGCAGTRGAAATGTTGAGTATCGAAGTTGATTGACTGGCAAACACCGTCTTCCATGCAGGCGAAAAAGCAGCTACTTAGTTTCGAGTCCGAAAACGATTTGTAAAGAAAGCCTTGGAGTTCGATACCACTTTCAGTTGAAGTGAGAAGCGAAAATGGCTGGGATTGCACAAAGACATGGCGACTGAGTTGGAAAACCGAAAATAAAAGAAAGATCGATGAAGACGTAACCATAACAAGTTGTTACTTCATTCTTTCCACTTTTTTGAAAATAGGTTGAATTATATCTGAGCGGTTTCCAACTGTAAAGCCGTTGGCGCAGTAGGTAACTTCAAATCTATGCGACCTGCAGCTGTCCTGGGTACAAACGGATAACTAGCCGTTAATCATGATAGTCAAAACAACAGAGTTCTCATATTAGAATGTCAATTACMCACGCGGTCTTTCAGGGGGCAAAGAGAAAAAGAGGCAAATTTTGATCAATCTACAACCTCTATACCATTCACTGCATTTAATATTAATTATTACGTGGGCTTCCTGTGGAAGCTCACGTCTAAAATGCCAGTAGACTGCCAGCGCCTGCGCGGTTGCAGATGGTCTGTAGTCTCAGTTTCCATGGGGYTTGTTTATAASCCTATGAATGTAAATCATATGACAAAACCAAAGGCTGTATTATCAGCTCATTTTTATCAGTTCATCAAATATAATCGGAATTTCTTTTTAATTTGTTCAGGAAATAATAGTCAGAATCRTAAGAATATTTGCAATRATTTTCCAGSCCTGGAAAACTAAATTACAAATAAACCCTTTTAGCGATCTCTTTTACGCTGTTTTARCCTCAAAACCATGTAATAAATTCTTTTATTCACAACARCCCGTGCAAATGCAAGAGATCCGTGAGTATAGAGGACAATGGAAATAGAGCGGATTTCGTATGAGTGGGGCACCGTTACTGCACGGTTACCGCACAGTTACMGTACCTGGCCTGCRTAATTTTGGTGAACCAATGGGGCACTAGAATTTGGTTACAGTACGATTACAGTCACAGTACAGTACCGTCCGTTTCCCACTCATACGAAATCCGCTCTAGTTTGAAAGTTTTATCTACATTTCTGAATATTTTAGCACACAATTGAGACTAAGGCCCGGGTCATACGTCGAGCCAGCGTCGCGCCGAACACGGCGTTAAGAGATCGCGAAAGTCAACTATTCCAGATTTACCTGGACCTGTGCAAACCCTGACTGAACAGAGCCTACCCCTCCCCCCCACTGCAAGACTACCTGCACGTTGCTTGCTTATATTCTTGGCACTTTCATAGCAATTCATTAACAAACATTATTGCAAAAAAGAGAAGAGGTTGTAGAAACTCAATCTGCATCTATAGACGGTGTTTCAAACAATTTTGCAAAAGATCGAAGTCAGTGCTGAATGAGACATTTTATGCACTAAAAACCTCCCCATATACTCAAAACACATTTCAAACTTCACACGTTTAGAAAGGTACAGTCAACTCTCGCCTCACTACAACGGAACCCCGCTACAACGGACACCTCGATATTGCGGACAGTAAAATACTGAATCCCCGGCAAAAATTACAAAGAAATGACTGAAAGTAACTCTCGTTACTACGGACTCTCGCTACTGCGGACACTAAATTACGGTCCGGAGGGTGTCCGTAATAGCGAGAAAGACTGTATTATATAGGATTATATAGSATTATATAGGATTATTTATATTATATACTATGATTATGGTTTATCTAACTATTCTACCCAGGCCATAATAGAGTATAAGGAACAGAACAACCAGTCCAGTAATAATATAGCACATTAAAGTCCTGTTTGATTTCCCTGAGCCTATCATGTGCGCAAGCCGTTGTGCACTGCCACTTAACAGACCTGACGTGCTTCCAAAGTCATCGCTCTGAAATTCGCAATAATTATAAAATATTTAGC